CTGTGCGCTGTTGGAGAAATTACTAGCGATATTAAGCCAATGTGGAAAGGGCGAAAGTAAAATAAAGACACAAAATTGAAATTAGAAAATATTTCCTGAAATTTATTAGCAGACTAATTTTAATTCCCTACTTAAATTTCAAATGGATATTTAGGCTTTTCAAAAAACTCAACAACATTTCAGTACAAAAAAATTCATCTTGCAAAATATCAAAATATGTGTATGTACATATATAAACATGCACAATTGCATGTCAACGTTTATTGCACTAAAAGTTCAAACTTTGATCTCAAATATTTTACAGCCAACAGTCGTTTACTGCGAAAACGGTATAAAAACGATATTTAACTGCAATTAAAAAGGCACGAGGTAAACATATAATCCAATGTATTTTGCTGAGAATAAACAAAATATGCTATTTGCTATTTTGTTTTTTTGTTTTAATTTCTTGCATGTATCAATAAAAATTTGCCATCTACAGGGCGTATGAGTAATCTTTTACTGCAAGCGCCTAAATGTATGCAACATTTATTCATATCTACTCAACAATAATGCGTGTTTATAGCCGAAAATTATAAAGTGAAAATGACCAAAGAAGAATTGCCAACTAAGCACGACACAAATTTGCATGTACATATACATACTATTTTTCGTTTTTGTACACAAAAGTTTGGCAAGTTCACGACTATAGCAGCTGGTCAGAGCTACATAAATGCTGCTACACTCGTTTGTGTGTGGATGTGTGTTGGTGTATTTAAGAAAATTCAAACAAATCCGCAAAAGTCATTTAGAATGACACGAGCGGAACACATGTGCATACACATGCACACAGTATGCGTGTGTACAATATACGGACATAAATATTATAAAGTGCCTTTTCAATAATAAAATTTATTATTATTTGTTAACAAAAACTTTCACACGAGACAAATGTTGTGCGACTTACTTATATATGTATACATATTGCTATAAATATGTAAATGTATACTTTGGCTAGGCATTATCTATGTATATTATACTTAATTTAGTTAAAAATCTAAACCAAAGGCATACATGCATATATAAATAAACATATGTATATACGTATATGTCAATAATTTCTTAACGGAAAATTTTATTTTAAAATCAAGAGCTTTTCTATATGTGTTAGTTCAGCTCTGACGTTAGCACACAGAATTTATACACGAAATACTTGTATACATTATATTTATATACTCAAAGGCGAACGAAAATTGACATTGAAAATATCGCACTTTTTCTGTTTTTTTTTTGTTTTTTTTTTTTTTGGTGGTTTACTTCTGCTTTCTAGTGGCATTCGATTGCATTTATAGCCATTTAATTATTTGGTAATTGGTGCTAGGGCAAAGGCTAGATTAAGAGCAGCGCAATCGACACCAAGCAGTTAAAAGCGTACTGAATATAAATTTACATATATGTACATATATTTATATATATATATTTATATATTTAACGATGCAGAAACTTCAGTGCAGAAGAGTAGAGAGAAATGTTGCCCAGCACAATATTTATATTATGTTCAGCAAATATAGTTTCTTGAACACATAAATTCATACAAATGAACAATACATACGCATATAAGCAAATGCATGTCTGTGTGTTGTGCACATTTCTAGTCTAAATTAAACAGAGCACACTTTTTCTTTACATTTTTCTTTTTTTCGTTTGACCAAAATCGCAAAACATATGTTTCGCTAATATAAACAAGCCTTTGTAAATCCCTTTGCGCATGTTTGTGCGCGAAAATCGTCCACTGCCAGTATTAGTCGTTGTATATACACTCAAATAGACCTATTTAATGAGGTAGAAAATTTTGTATGTTTTTTCGCTATTATATTTTCCAATATTATTTAGGTAGCTTATGCGATGAGTAATCACACTATTTTTGTTTACTTTAAATATACTCTGTTTGTAGTGTATGTATGTACTGTAACAACAGTGCATGCATATGGGTGAGAGTATAATGAACAAAACAGGTGTATGAGTAATAGTGTTGAAAAAAAAAGAAATTACAAATTTTTTCTACCTTTATGGCAGTTGTGAAGTTCAATAATTTTCGCTAAGCTCCACTTTTAGTTTTCTAGCTTAGAAGAACAAGCAAGGCATGATCAAATTTGAGTTTGGAAAAAAATGTTGCGTATACGCCACAGAGTACAAAAGTCAGATATACATGGATTCTTTGAGAAAAAGTTATAGATTGCTTGTTAAATTATTTTCAAAACTTTTGCTTTTATATATAATAACAAGTAAAAATTCGTAGAGAAGATTTTCAAGCTATACAGGAAATTATTTTATATTTTAATTGATTATTGTCCCCTTTCTTCTATTTTTCTTAACCATTTTTTTTTGCTTTAATCCATTCAATTTTGAAAAGCTGAAAAGAAAACATTGTTTAAACTATATTTTAAGCTCTTTAGCTAATAATCAGCACAAGTGTGTGAAATCCCATTCCACAGAGGTTTATATAATATTAGTAAACAAATTTTTCGTATATGTCATGTAGTCCAATCAGCTCATATTCAATGGTTATTATTAGAAGGGAAAACATGAGCTGGCTGTCCTTGAGGGCTAAAAATACATTTAATATTACAGTCTACTAGAAAACCAAATAAAATTACCGCTCTATTTATTTATTTTGTATTATTAACTATTTTTACTAAATTTAATTTTACTTGTATTAATTCCTATTAATTATTAATTATTTTTTAAGCTCAGCTTAAAGCCGACCTTCTCTGGCATACACGCATTTAGAATTTTCGAAATACTTTCAGTCATTTTAGACATAAATAAGAAATTTGTTGGAGTTTAATAATCGCAATGATGATTTATGCGTAAAATAAACCCCATACAATAATTTCACTAATTTTTTATTTTTTATTTTACTTTTTAAATAACAATTTGTATAATGCCATAAAAGTGCTTATGCATTCTTTCTATGTAAACAGTTCAAATTTATTGTATTGTAATTCCAATAACGGTCAACAGCTAACTGCTTATCGAGTATTTAAATCGATGTGCAACTGTGAATTTTTAATTTTTAATTTTGAGCTATGGTTGAAATTCATTGGCTGATATTTTTGTTTTGCAATCTCAGTTGCTTAGACGTGTCAACAAACTGTTTAAAAGTGTTTTTGTCCATAAAATGTTGCTACTCGTGCGCTGAAGTATTCAATAGTGTTTTATTATATATTTCTTAGAAAATTTCAGAAATCAGGGAATAATTCAAATTTTCTAATTTTTTTTTATTCATAACCTGAGTTGAAGATGATATAAAAAACCTACTCTAACGGTACATTCAGATTGTGTTAACACTGAATAGAAAAGGCAGATCGGGTAATCAATATAGGGATAAAGAAGAAGGGGAGAAATATTACTTATATAAGGAAAGAGAGAAAAAAGTAGTTGAGAGAGACAGAGAAGTGAAGCGAGAAAAAGAGAGAGAGAGAGAGAGAGAGAGGCAGAGAATTGAAGCGAGAGAGAGAGAGAGAGACAGAGAAGTGAAGCGAGGAGAGAGTAGGAAAGAGTAAAAGAGAAAGCGAGATTGAGGGAATGATGTATTCGAAATCGAACTGGTTGTTCTAATTTTTTCCTTAGGAAAGTAAATATTTCAAACCCACTCTCTTCGTATAGTTTAAAATCACCCCGTCTCTACTTCAAAATAATGAAGTGATTATGCTTAAAATACTACAGATAGACAGCGGAAGGAAAATGCAGTCATTATTTGTTCATAAATTCTCGAAAGGCCTGTCGGACAGAATTAAGGCCTAATGATAGGCTACAAGCGGTTAAAATTTGACAGTGAAGCATGCAGAAAATGAAGGGAAGCAGATATGAGAGGGAAATATAAAGCGTACTCTTTGCTTTTGCACGACCCTATCAGGAAAAATACTACATCTCAAATTATACTGAATAAATCGAACTGGCACTGTGGCGCATCAGCCACTCAATAAACATATCTGTAGAATATATCTGAGTATATTTATTTCTTTTTTATGTCAGACCGGTTTAATACTAAAACATTACTACTCCGAATTAAAGAAGTAATAATAAAACGAAGATTCAACTAATTTCTCAAACTCGAAATTGTTTGCTTTGTTTATGAAATATTTCTTTCTTAAGGTAAACGAGAATTGCTGTCATGTTGCTAAAACGAACGAATGCTTACTAAATCTTAATTCCACTAGAAAAAACAATATTTTTGTGGTAAAGAAAATCATTTGAGCTGCGGAAGTTTTCATTTCTTCACCCTACTGAGTTGCTAAGAGATTGAAAGAGCGTTGAAAATAATACATTCAGAGGAACTCTGAACTCAACAAATAGAGAAAGAAATCGTACTTCAAAGCTTACAGAAAATCGCTTGACCATGTTTATTGATAAATATATAAACATTGGAAAATTTCTAAACATACTCTAATGGTTCTCATACATAAATATTACATCACTTAACAAACAGAAGCGTAAATTGGAATTCAAAAAGGAATTACTTTGATGTATTTACGCATACTTATAGTTTGAGCATAGCAAAATCGCTCAAGCTTGATTAAAACACACATTTTTTGTTGGAAAATGCATATTGGCCGCTAAAGGATTAAATCAGATATGCTTTCGTTGCGTTCCAACACATTCTTCACACATTTTTTATGCCAAACACGTACTTTTGCTGCTTGCGATGTCAATTATTTAAATAAAAACAAATTATGACAAGCAATAAAATAAATATATACATATTTAATAAGCAATTGCTTTAACAATTTTTTTGGCAAAGCCGTTAATTTGTTATTAATAAAGAAATAAAGAAAATATTATATATATAAAAATTCATGCAAAGCAGAAAAGAAATCAATATTTATCGATCGAAAAATATTAAATTCAAAACATTTGACAAACTCACAACAGAGTTGAACGCAACAATATCGACAACAAAAACTTGTAAACAAAATCAAACTGAACACATTAAATTGGAATAAATATAAAGAATCTACCTCGATATAGTGCAATGCTAATGCGGATTTGGACATTTGACTTTGTGTTTGATTTAAAATAACTGAATTACTTTGCTGCTGTAGCTGTTGCTGTTGTTGTTGCAACAAAACCTGTTGCTGATGGCCAGCAATCATAGCTGCTGGAGCTTGTTGAGGTGCCAGCGGACGGTAAGCATCGTAGCACACGGCTGAGGTGGAGGCTGATTGAGTGAGAGGGTGTGGCGCAGGAGCGCGATATGAGCCCACTGCGCCGCCACCGGCTTGATTTTGTTGTTGTTTGTAATGATGTGTAGTGTGTTGTTGTGTTGAGAATACACCACCACCACCGACACCATGTTGCTGTTGCTGTTGCTGCTGCTGCTGGTAGAGTTTCTGCTGCATACTGCCCAAACTGTAGTTGTTCTGCTTCGGATATAGATACGGCTCGAAGGTTTGTAGCGCGTTTGTACGCTCAGGCTGTGTTTGCTGCTGCTGTTGCATTGTTTGCACACTGATGTATTGGCCGGGCAATTGTTGTGGCTTACTTCCCATATACTGAAAGCCGCTAGGTCTTTGTGTGTTGCTGAAGGAGGCGGAGTGCGCCAAGACATTTCCCCCCAGTCGTGTGGTTTGTTGTTGTTGCGGCAGCTGCTGTTGTCCGTACATGAAATTATATTTTTGCTGCTGCTGTCGCTGTTGCGCTGGCAGAAAACCCGGTATATAGGTTGTCGTTTGTTGTTGCTGCTGCTGTTGTTGTTGTTGTTGTGCGCTCATATATTTATTCTCCTTATTTGTGTTGCTCTTTTGCAAAAATACTGTCGAGTTCGTTGCGGGCTTTGTCGTCATCTGCTGCTGCAGCTGCTGCTGCTGTACCTGCGGTCCTCCGCTGGGCTGCTGCAGCAATTTCTTAGTTACATTTGTAGCCGAGGCGGTTTGTTGTAACTTATGCGCTTGCTGCTGTTGCATGAAAGGATCCGTGCTGCCGCTCATGGTAGAGCAGGCAAAGGAATTCCAATTCAAGAAGGGTCGTTTCTGTTGCGGATAAGCGTGGGTGGGTTGCAGAGCTTGTGGCTTCCTGAGACGCAGCAAATCTTGTTGAGCAGCCTGTATTTGTTGCTGTTGGTTTTGTTGTTGCTGCTGCAACGCCGACATTTGTTGCGGCAAAATCTGACGTTGATAGCTGAAAGGTATTTGTGAGGTCGAGTTGGATTTGCCGATGGGGTAGTATTTTTTGGGCAATTGTGCAGATTGTTGTTGTTGTGACTGTTGTTGACGGGTAGGACTTTCAGTCAATGTGCTATTGGCTGCTTCTTTGCTGGTCGTCACTTTGGATTCCGGTATTTTAGTCGATGTTTGACTTTTTACTGCTGACGCTCCGCCAGCGATAAGGACTTGGTCCGCTGAACTGTTGTTGTTGCCCATTTTCAACAATTCATTCAGACACTTTTCAATCTTATTATCGGTGTCCTTTTGACGTTTAGTGAGCTCTGAACTGACACTACTCTGAACTTTGCTGTTCTTAACGCTATCCCCAGCGCTCGGAGCAGATACTGATCCAGCGGGTTTCGCAGTTCCGCTACCATCCCGTGTAACTGGCTTGGTTTGCTTTGATTGCTGCTGTTGGCTGGTCTTGGCATCGGCGGAGGGTATGTGAAAAGAGGATGTAAACTTCGACAAGTGGGGCAGGTGGGAGGTGCAGCAATTTGTTGCGGTGATGCTATTTGTGCTTAGGGTACTGTTGCTTTTCACTGATTTTCGATCGATTGAGGAGGGCGCGGCCCCATCAGAGGAGGTCGTTGCGTTAGTTTCGTTCCTATCCCCGTCGACTGTGATGGGATGCGGCTCCTTACTCACCTCCGCCTCGGGTTCTTGTTTGCTTAAGCTGCTCGATATATTTGGCTTTGACTGCCGAGTTTCCAAATGTTTAGATGGCTGCTGTACCGTTTGTTTCACCTCCGCCCCGTGTGTTGGTTCTGATAGTATTTGCTGTTGTTGCTTTTGTTTTTGGCGTATCATCAGTTCATCACTCAACGCTGATTTTGGTTTCTCACTTGGAGCCACCAAAGATGTTGTCATTGCAGGCGCACGCGGCGACACACCATTGCCGGCCTTTGTCGCCCCTGTCAACGTGGCCGCCGCTGCGGCAAGCGTAGTTTGCGAGGATGACTCACAACTTTGCTGCTGTTGCTGGTGTTGTTGTTGTTGCATGTAGAACGGACTATATTTAGTTGCAGCGCCAAACACACTTGAACTCGACGAGCTCTTCAGTAAGCCGCGGAGGGGGTGCGTCGATGTAGCCGCTGCTGCAGATGTTATTGCCGAATTGGTCATCAACGCCGAGGGCTGACTAATTTGTTTTGATGTGACGTCGCGCGCTGCCGGTGGATTCGTGGCGGCTGTGGACGTAGGCATGAGGATTGCGGTGCTCGAGGTGCTACGACTTAAGGCGGGCAGATGTTTCATGTAGCAAGGTATGTGTGTGCGGCTAGTCGAACGCACAAGATTACTCGTTGATGGTGCATTGGCCTGTGCGGGTGTTTGAGTGAGACTGGCGTAATTCATTTGTGTAGAGATCACACCGGAGGGTACATGAGAGAGGGAAACACTTTTATTCAATGGCGTCAGCTGCGGTAGATGATACTGTTGCTGTACCTGTGCCACTGGCGGTTGTGCCATTATCTTCACTGGTACTTTACTCACGAAATTTGTGGGCGCCAGACTCGTTGTGGGCGAGTTCTCATTACACATAAGCTTATAAAAATCTTCCTTGGTTACGGCCTGCCGAACCTTCATATCTAAATGCGACAGCGATGCATTCTTCTGCAATTTATTGGGCTTCTGGAGTTCCTTTTGTGCCGCCTCGGCAACGGTTGGATCGAAAATAGCTAGTTTTTTTGCTGTCTGCGCATCCACCTTTAGTGGGGCGCCCGCTGCGCCTACACTACTCACCGCTGGCGCGCAGATCTTCTCATAGTTCCATATAGACCGCTTCGGCGTTTGCCGTTTCTGTGAGGACATCAGGTTCTCCGCCCAAAAGTCGTTCATAAGTTGCTTATTAAGCGAGAGATTCGAGCCGCTGGTTACGGAATCTTTTTGCTGCGCTAATAATTGGCTGGATTGTGGCAAGTTGTCGGCAGGCGATAAACCCTGTATACAGCCACTATACTGGGGCGTATTCGAATATGGCATACTGTTACTCGACGTGCTGCGCTGTAATTTGGGTGTTTGTTCTTGTTGTGGCTGACCGAGTGTAGAAAAGATGGACGGATAGGCGAGGCGTGTGCGGTTTTGAGGGCTCTGCATGGCAGACAGTGAATTACCCAAGTTTATGGATGAAGACTTCATCAGGTTATTGGGTGGCGGGACGTAAGACTTATTACACAACTGCTGCTGCTCCGGTTGGGTGTGCAGGATAATACTTTGGCGTGAATTGGATTTGGTGACCGGCGCTTGACGACGTTTCAAGCGATCGTACAAATCCTCACACTCTTGAAACTCTTTATGGAGCTTCTTATCCAGCTCGGTATAGTCGGGCAGACTCTTGAGATACTTATTCATCATCTCAATCTCTGCGTCGTATATATTCGCATCCATTTTCACCGCCGCTGTCTGTTTTTCCAACTCCTTTTGCTGGGCAACCAATTTGTCGAGATCGAACTCAGGCAATGGTTTGGCGCAGGAAGTCAGAGTTGGGTGTTCCTCTGAAAGTACACCCATGCCACTGCCATATGTAGAGTGTCCTGCTATATTGCGCGTTGAGCCCGTGATTGGCTTTTTTGCTAGTCCATAACTTAAGCCTTTAACTGCTGTATCGTTATCTTTAGGACTCGCATTCAGGAGTCGTTGTACGTTGCCGGTAGAATTGTATTTGGGTGCACGCATGGGCACAGGTGGTGGCGGTGAGGACGAAGGTGACGATGTCGATGAAGACAGCGACAATGATGAAGCCGGACTGGACGCCATGGCAGATATCATGTGTGGCGGTACGGCCGGTATGGAAATAGGCGATGTTATTACACCAGTAGCAGCATTATAAGAGAGGGGATAGTTTTTACGCGCACCGGGCGGTGTAGATTTCGGACTCGCCGGTAAGTGTGGTCGATGATGTTTACGGCCGGCGCGCGGTGAAGAAACAGGCGAACGACTGCCTGCTTTACTGGCAGCCAAGACTGTGGCCATCTGGGGTGAAACAACATGATACGGCTGGGTGACTGTTGGTGGCGTTCCGTGCGCACTGCTGGGTGGCGATCTGCCAAACGTGGCGACCGTAACAGGCACCATTGGTGGTGATGGGCTCTCTTGGAGCTGCGGATTGGTGGCTCTTGGTAACGCGGCAGCCACTTTCTTCGTTTCCTTGCAAGCTAAGTCCACTGAGGGTTTATCTCTTTTGGCCTTAGCAGGTAACTGCGATTCTTTAACTACAGTCTCCGCTGGTGGTGTTGTAGCAACGGACACAGGTGGTGATGGTGCATCATTGTTATTTAACAGTATTGTCTTTGTTTTGTTTGTTGTTATTGTTGCTGTTGTTTTAGCGTTACATTTAGCGGGAGTTCGGTTAACATTGTCACTCATTGGTTTTGGTTCGCGAAAGAACTTCAGTTATCGAACTGTTGTTGTTTTTTGTTTTGAAATTGATAGACCAGTTTTGTGCTGTTAAATAAGGTTCTGAATTCTTAAAAATTTTGAAGCTTCGGAGAGAGCAAATCTCTCGTAGTAGTGAAACTTAGATGTGACAAGCGACCGATATATTTACATCGCCAAATGAGAAGACGAAGTGGAATAATTAGACCTCGGATTGAGGAAAAAACCCGAAAATACGAATTAATAACCTCCAAGTGGATTTCGGGAGCGCGAATCCTACAGAACATAGGAATTCTAGCTTCGTTCGCGCATTCACCCTAGAACTTCGCTAATCAGTACCGTTATGAATAATTTAGGTCGCCTATAAAATTCACTAAATGCTAAGTATAAATTCTTTCCCAGCTTCAGGTATTACAGGTACTCAACAAATAAATACTTTCGACATTACGAAAACAGACGTACACTTGAGACGTTCACGTACGTACACATAAACATTGCATTGACTGTAACACACACACACGAACTCAGAACGCCAACAAATGGAAAACCAACACGAATGAACGAACGAACGACCAACCAACCTTCAGATACTGCTCCGGTATTTTACCGTTCTTTGGTATAATAAACTTCTTAATGATAATGATCTTATCTCCTTCGATCTTCTGTATAGTAATCGGCACACCGAGTTGCGGACGTTGATTCTGTGGCGGACGTTGTACCACCGGCTGCACGGGGCGTACAGCACTGCTCTGTGGTCCCGTCAGAATGCCACCTGGATTGGGTTTTGGCGGCACGGCTGCCGTTGTTGCCGATTTCTGGAGCCCAATTGTAGGTTTCGGTTTCGGTTTGGGCGCTACTGTTGTTGTCGGCTTATTGTCCTTCTTCTCGCGTACAATAGAAAAGTGATAGAGCGGCTTATCATCATCGAGTATGCTCTTCTGTTGCACAGTCTTCTTTTCAACGCGACGCAACACAACACCCAACATTGGCGCATCATTCTTTTTGATGCCGATATGCGACTTTGGCGGCGAGACCTTCTTTAAATTCACACCTAATTTGACGCCGACTGGTGGCGGCGTTTTAGTGCGATGCACCATTTTACCAGTAGGTATTTCACGTCTTAAAGCATCTTCAGCCAATTTGTGTGCCTCAGCTGCTGTCAGCTCACCATCCGATGCATCCTCCTCCTTTGGCAAGAGTGGATTCGTATGCAAGACCGGTTCAGGTGCGACCAGCGGAGAGGGACCAGGGAAAAGTGCAGACAAACTGCTTCTACGACGCTCCATATTCGGCACTGATGTGGTTTTAGCGAGTGGAAATATTGGTGGCGAGGCTAGGGCCGCCGTAACTAGCGGTGTGGCAGGCAACTCAACCTCAGCTGTGCTAGCGGCGCTACCACGTCTGCTTGTGTTCTTGCTAACGCTTACGCTAGCTGAGGCTGAAAGCGCTGAGCCAATGCTACTCAAACTCGCACTGTGTAGACGGTCTGGTGCCGGGCTACGGCCGCGATGTAAATGCGGCAATAAATTGCTGGCTGAAAGCATAGAGCGTGCACCAACGTCGGGTGACAGCGAGCGCTCCGGTTCAATTTCGCGTTCTGCGGCATCTACATCACGTTGACGACGATGCATGCGCAGTAATTCAATAGAATCGGCTATCTGCTGATGCTTCTGCTGGTGGTTTTGGCTGATTTCATACTCTTCGGTGGACGATTTGGATGAAGAATTTTTTTGCGGCGATGGCGACGTCGTCTCATTTTCGTAAGCATCTGCGACCGCACCATGACCTTTCGACAAATTGTCAGCTGAATGTAGATCCAATTGTGGTTTTGGTGAATTCCCATCTTTTCTGAAGCGGCGCAAAGCACCAGCATCAGCATTAGCTTGTGTTAAGAATTGCTCGTTGAGCATATTCGGTAGTGAAGCTATGCGCTCGGGTGGTGCGGGTGAGTGTGGCAAGAGGCGTGTAGCTCGCATGGGCGATTGACTGCGATCATCATCATAGGGGCTGCGCGAGTATGAACAGCTCCCATCGACATCTACAGTTGGTGGCGTGAATGGTTTGGCGGTGTGTAAGCCTTGCAAGCTTTGTAAGTCTGGTGTTGTTGGCACAGATTTATTCGTGTCGCCCAACACTTGCACGCTCGGTGTTATATTATCTATTGAGCTTTTGCTACTAGTCTTGTGCATTGATGACTTTGCTGTTGTTGTTGTCAATAATAAGCCGGTAGATGAATTGGATATAGCAGGCGTAGCGGGCGCCGATACTGACACAGTAGCAGCCGCATGGGCCAGCGCTGTTTTGATCTCAGCTGCGGCCGCGGCGCGTATAGCCGCGAACTCGGTGGCCGTCATTTGCTTCACACTCAAACGGCGTTGTGTGTCGACAACATGAACTTGGCCGCCGCCATCGCCGTTGGCGTTTTTGGAGTGTAGGTCGGGGCAACTGAGGGCTATTAATTCGCTGAATTCGTTGGACATAGCGTGCGCGTCAGTAAGAGCGTTTGTGTGTGTGTGCGTGCGTGTTCTACTGCTGCTGCTGCTGCTGCAATGCGTTGTATTACGTACACCTTGTCGTTGCTTTTGTTGGCACCTAAAATTTGTTGCAATTGAGGTCGTGCAGTGTGGTTTTCTTCACGTACGTACGTCGCACTCAAGGTTAATCTTTTTTCTTTTTTTTCTTGCGGTCAATAATTTCGTAAAATCACTTTAAACTAAATCTCCTTTTATTACAAAAATTAAAATTTGATACGACATCGATTTTTCGTGCTGAGAAAATATAAAATTTAACAAAATTAAACGGATTTTCGTCAGTTGTTTCTGCAGACTCGCTGCTTTGGATCGATTATTCAACACAAAATGACGAATATTTGTTTCGTGCCTTTGGCATTTGCTCGTTCATTAGACGAATGTCGAGTGGTACTACAAAACGATCTGTTCGCGAAAAGAGCTTGCTAATTATTGAGAAATGCGTTTCAAGTGCAACGTGAAATTTATCGCAGCTATCGAAATGTTGCAAAGTCTATAAGACAAATTGTTTTTTATTTGATTTTATTTTTAATTTAAATCTCTTTCTATTTTCACGCACCTTCAAGTGCGAGTTTGAGGTAAGCTGCAAGAAGGTGGGAGTGAACTTTTGGCAGGTATCGCGGCACAGAGCACAAAGGACGGGCATAATATACGGTATATATACAACCTGCTGCAATGTGTGCAAAATTAGAAACCGTTGTTCTAGCGATTTTTGATTATTTTTTTTTTTTTTGTTCTTTTGGCGCCTTTTTTCTTGCCCTCTCGCGAGGTGAAATAAACAAAGCAATTACAGTTTTGAAATTTACAGTTATAGCCAAGTTTTCGATCATCAATCAGGATGTATAGTTGATTCGATCAACAATGACGTATTCTGTGCATAAAAAGAAGAAAAAAGCAAATGGATTGCTATGCAAAAAAGTGGTGCAATACTTTACTTGACTGGCGTGAACTGACAAATCCAAATAATTTTTTTTTCTCCACACTGGGATAAGGGGATTCAAATTGTTAAAAAAAAATTATTTAGGATTATAATCATGCCTAAAAGTGGGAGTATATTCGATGTCTGTCTTTGTTTTTATTGTCTCAGTTGGAGCAAAATTTACGAATTTATAGTAAATTCTTGCCTGTCGGACTGCTGACAACAAATTAACGATTTCTCCTCTTCACAGTGAGAAATTTAAAATCTCTAAAAATCCTTCCTGAGCTACTTGGGGAAGACTATTATACTATATATTTTGATTTCAAATGAGCCACCACCATGTTTTGAGGGTCACGCAATTCTATCCATTTTCGATATACGTCCAAATAATTGATACTGTTGTCGGTTAAGACATTTCAACTGTGCCAGAACTGCCTATTTTTTGTACGAAGAATACAAATTTGTTGAAGAAAATCCTGATGTTTATTTGATTTTTTTACTCATACTAACCGATATAGTATGTAATTTTAATAGTTATAGATTTATTATTTTTCATTTTATTATAACTGTTTTTATTTTTACTTTTATTATTATTATTTTATTAATTTTTTTTATGTAAATATTTTATTATTTTTAATGTTCATTATTATTGTTTACTTTTGTTATTATTTTCATTATTATTTTATTATTAACAATAAAAATGTGTTGTTTTTTATTATAATTTTTTTAATGTTTTTTTATTCGTACTTTTTTTACCTTTGATTAGTATTTTTATTACGTTTTATTTTTATAAGTATTCTTTATTAATTTTCTTTTTATTTTGCTTATTTTATAATTTTTTAGATTTTTATATTTTTTTTATTTTCACATTTTTTTAATATTATATATATTTTTATATACTTTTTTTAAGTTTTAGGTCATTTTAAATTTTATATATTTTTAATTTTTATAATTTTTTAATTTTATATATTTTTTTTTTAAATTTTGTAATTTTTTAATTTATATATTTTTTTAATTTCATTTTTTTTATTTTTACAATTCTTTTTTATTTTATAATTTCTTGTATTTTGATATATTTTCTGTTTTTTTGTTTTAATTATTATTTGGTAGTTATTATTTTTTTGTATTTATTATTTTTTTTATAATTTTTTTTTATATTTTTCCATAATTTTTATAATTTTTTCTTAATTTTTACTTTTTCTTTGACAATTTTGTTTATTTTTATAATTTTTTTTTATTTTTATAATTTTTTCTTTTTTTTTATAATCTTATATATATTTTTATAATTTCATCTATATTTTTATAATTTTACCTATATTTTTAGAATTTTATCTTTATATTTATAGTTTTATCTTTATTTTTTAATTTTATCTATATTTTTATAATTTTATCTATATTTTTATGATTTTATCTATAGTTTTATAATTTTATCTTTATTTTTATAATTTTATCTTTATTTTGATAATTTTATCTTTATTTTTATAAAATTATCTTTTTTTATAATTTTATCTTTATTTTTATAATTTTCTTTTATTTTTAAATACGTTTCGCCTGGCTTAAAAAAACGGTAAGTCACTTCAGTTATTGGATAAACAATACCGTCACTCCACTGATTAGATAGGGAGATTGGTCAAATATCACTCCAGTGGTTATAAAATCAGTTGAATAAAAACTTTTAACTGGATCCTTTTTTAGAATTATTTAAAGTTTCAAATTAATTTTATTGATTTATTAGATTAAATAGTTATCTCGTTAGTAAATAAATTTATTTAATTTGTTTATTTATTTTACATTATTTATTTATTTATGTATTAATTTTATTTATTTACTTATTTATTTTCTTCTCTTTTTTTTTTTTTTTGAATCGCATTTGCTTTTAATTAGCAAGCATATAAGTTTTTCTTGTTGAATAAAAAAACGGCTTATAAACTTAAAGTATTTATATGTATTTCATCAGAAATTAAGCCTACGGGGAAAGAATTTATACAAGCATAAGCAAGTTCCACCATTAAATAATATGTAAATTTCAAATATTTCCAAACTAAACTGAAAGCGTCGACACTACGAGATATTTCCAATATACAAATGTGGGTTCCCAACTAGTGCCTAACGATATTTATTATTACTT